AGAGACTCACAAACGGGAGGACTAATCTTCTCTTGATAGCTAGCTCTGATCCTCATGAGGAGAATATGAATTAGGGTTTCAAGATCTCTCCTGAGGGAGGGGGGCAGGGGCTGGTATATATAGCCCTGAGGGTCCAACGTGGGTCCTTGGATGAAACCGACTTAAGCAATGGCTTAGATGCATCCTAAAAGGAGCTGGGGAACCGACATACGAAGTAGGCTGACAGGTGGGGCCCACAGGGGCTAGGTGGCCCCACTTATAGGTTGGCCAGCCCCAAATGGCAGTGGGTTGAGCCCCGCTTCAGTGATTTGCCTTCTGGACCCTTCTAGAGTCTTCCCACGTAGGTACCACGACGGAATTCTGTAATTTCCTTCGATGATTAGATCCTCCTTGGTGGTTTTCTAGATAAACTCTACTGAAAATACAGATTCACCAAAACTCATGGAATTTATTAGTTTAAACCCCTAAACCTTCATTGGTGATTACATTTATGCCCTTATCCATGTTTAATTGACGGTTTATAATGGTTGTTAACTACCATCAACATAGAGACATGGGTTCAGCATGTGGTGGGTAGGGATGGAAATGGGACGGATACTTCCTGATATTCGTTTGTCCTAGAAGGGTTATTACCCTATATGATAGTCTGTATTTGAACTCCAACATCTAATATATGTATGTATCTAAATCTAAATACTTTAGATTTTTATATGTATATGGGATAGATATCAATATACGACGTATCCGACATAATCTGTATCTAGTTCTAAGATCAAGAAAAAAAAATATGGGATAGAATGTAGGATCATTGATATTCGTCTATATCCGATCCGGTTTCATTCCTAGTGGTGGGTAAGCGACGAGCGCATCGCGCGGATGCAGTGAGGATTACCCGTTCACGGATGATGTCATCCTACACTGGGACCCTGTGAGTGATGGCATGTCGGCATCGTGAAGCCAGCCCTATTGGGTAGGTATGTGGTCAAGCAATGGTGATACAAGCTGGCCCTGCTAGGTAGGGGTGCAAAGCCGATGAGGGTGGGCAAGCAACAGGGCACATAGCACAGACGCGGTGAAGACAAGCTAGGAGTGACAGTCTATGCGTGGATGCCATTCGTTGTGTTCGAGGGATGGTTCATGGGAGCACAGGTGGTGGCAGATCCCACAAACCATAGAGAATTGTGATAGCGCTCGACATCAAAACTTGAGACAACCATCCCTCATTTCTCTCTCATCCATGTAGCCATTTGCTGACATAGCTTGGCTATAAAAAAAAGAGATATATTATTATTTTGACAACAAACATATACTTTCATTTCAATAGTAACAAGCTATGATGAGGGATACAAGGTTGCAATTTACATTTTGCAGTGCTTCCTTGAAGGGCACTGATTTTGCGTGAGCCATATTTGTGCATGTGATGTAAACATGAGAAGGCCAAGAATGGTTCTCTACAAATGCTTGCTTTGCTAATAGATGAGCCATTTGGTCGCCTTGACTTTGTGTCATGGGTTTGTAACCACGACATGCATCGTGTTATTCGATGAAAGTCGGTGTGTGGGTCTCAGGTGGCTCGGATGCTCAAAATGCACTCAGGGACAAGTGATTTTATCCTAGTTTGGGCTCTACATCCAACATTATAGTGTTATTCGTGTTAGGAATGCCCAATCAAGAGTTCTTACAACAATAATGGAGGTAGAGAGGAACATGGTAGGGGATTACGTGATGCTTTCCTAGAGTCAGTTGGTTGATCCTTCGGGGATCTCCTAGTGCTAAGGGTTTTGGTTTCTCGGTCTCGGAGGATTCGGGATCTGATCCTTTCTATAGGAGCCCATGCTTCCCCTTATATACCGAGGAGGACATGGGGGGTACAAATTGGGGGGGTTGCCTAGGGTTCTTCACCTTGGAGCTTCTGGTCTCTTCTCCCGGTTGGCACCACTGGGAACTTCTTTGTCGTGTAGGAAGGGCCAACAATGTTGCAACCACCCCTTGACACCTCTATTGTAGTCTGGCGCTTGACCCATAAGGTGTTCTCTGCCATCACGGGGCCTCCTCAGGTGAGCCTTCTCTAGGCTTCCTTGGTATGCAAGGATCTTCCCCCAGACGAGCGGGCCCAAAGCCCCTAGCCCCGTGGGCTTGGGGAAGTCCTTTGTATTGACGCATCATGCCTCGGGCGTGACCCTGTTGGGGGCACGTCCGACAGCGCCTCACGGTGGTGGCTCGGGATGGAGGTTTAGTACCTCTACGCTTGTCAGGCTTTGGGTGCCTAGCAAGTTCTAGAGCTAGGTTCTGTTCTTGGCTCGGGGCGTGTTGGGCCTGAGCCAAGGCTGAGACTATTGCTCGGGTAGAGGATAGGCCAGGGTTCTCCCTTGGCCGAGAGCGCACGCATGGTGGCTGAGCCCCTGAGCCTTGAGCGATGGTGGCATTCGCTTTCTTGGGTTTAACCCTCTGGCATGGGCCTCCTTGAGGGTCACTTAGCTTCCCAGGCTGACGAGCCATGATCTTTTTGATTGAGGGTACCGGTGGGTATAGCCCCTGAGCCCTCGGTCAATTCTGAGAGTCGGTCGAGGGGTTAATTGGACTGTCACGTCCTTAATCCGGGGGCTTAGAATGCCCCTATGGGTGTGGTGGTACTGTGTCGCTTCTGTTTAAGTTATTTTGAACACCCATTTGCACTGTGTTTCCTGCAAATGTAAAGTTTGTACCTGGCATGGAGTGTTGCAATTGCCCAGCCGGACCGTGGCCCTGATTTGGATCTGACTGTTGTCGTTGCCTAGGTGGATGGAATTTGTTCATCTACATTATTGGTGGGTAAATTTGCAATAGAAATGTCTGCTGCTACAACATGGTGGACTTGCCAAGGTGTCCAATTTTTCTTGTCAAATCTCTTATCATTTCTAGCTTTCTAGATGTACCACATATTTTGTTAAATTTTTTTGAAGGAGGTCAGATACTGATGTGGTTATAATAGTAGACAAAATTTGTTGGACCCCATCATGTTGATTTGGCAAAGTCACAGTGAAAGAAAATATAAGCACCATTCTCATTTTGGCCATGGGTGTAGCAATTTGAATCTCCTACAACTAAAAAGAAAGAAAGTAAGACTACCGTTTCATGCCACAATCTTGGCTCCGGTTGGTCCGCCCCCTCCCACTTGCGATCATTCCACCCGGCGTGCGATAGCTCGATCGCTCGCTCATTACCCTCGGCACTCGCTTCCCTCCCGCGCAGTGGACCCGGACGTCGACTACTCCCTCGCCTCTAATCATGTGCCATCCCCTTGCGAGATCCCTCCTCGAATCAGCCTTCCTCCCCCAGTCCCCCCTAGCCACGCCGCCGCCTCCTCTCCCACGTGCTCGCCCACGCTGCCTCCTCCTCTCCCTACCTACCGTGATGTCGTTCTGTCACACTCACACCGTGGACCTCGCCGTTCGCGCCTGCGGCGTCATCCTCATCCACGCCGACGCCTCCTTTCCCTCCCTGTCTCGCAGCAGCGCTGCCGCCGCAAGGCTGTGCCGGGAAGTACCGCCGATGCCCATGCGTTGGGGGCTCCATGGAGAGATCTCAGGGACGCTGTGAGGTCCGATGACGGTCGCGCCAGCTGGACCACCCGTCGTCCTACGTCGCTCGGCCATGATTACACATCTCTGACGACGAGGGCATCCCGAGGTGGCGCGGCACGGGCTACAGTGCATAGGGTGTCCGCCATCATTTTAGTCTTTCATGAAACTTCTGGTCGGTTTTATCAAAAAGAATTTTAGAGGTCGTACAATGTATATTTCTCGTCATATGTGTTGTTGTATTGTAATTAGTGGAGTTGCAATGTAATTGTTGAAAAAAAGTTTATACGATGAGTATAACATAATTTGTTTTAAGGTTTTGTGAGAGATTTTTCAAGACACACAGTATTATCCACGTGAAGTACTAATATTTATATATATAGTCAAACCTGTTTACATGATCCTATGGAGATGAGGTGGAATTTATTCGTGGATTTATTGACGCATGAAAGAAATGGATATCGGAGATTTCTTCCTGCCGATATAAAATATTATTTTAGGCGCATCACGGAAAGGTCTATAAAGTAGAGTTTGTAAGCCTATGACGCCGCGCTCTCCATGACTGTTAATTTCACAATCTTTACTTTTTGGATTAACTGTAACTTTAACGTTGATATTTAATTTTTATATTATAGTTATCTTATCGTGCGGTCCATGTGTTTTTAGTATAAAATATTAGCTATCCCATAGCAACATATGGACACACGCTAACTAATAATAATAAATCTTCAAGACTCTTCCAGACACGACTCAAAAGTATGTCCAGATACGAGACAAACCAAAATATTACTTGATTATTAATAAATTTTGACATGTAAGATGTCCACATGACCATATATGCTATTGCAACACACGATTGCAAATACTCCCTCGGTACCTCTGTCCACGGAAGAATACAGTTCTAGCACGCTAATAGAGTTATTTGGATCGGTGCCATTTTAATATTCACATGCCCCGAAATCACGATTAAAATTTATCTATTCGGAAATGAACCACCGTAACTTTTTTTTTTCGAAATTTTCTTCCCGTTTTATCCCGGTGCGCAGCGCATCGTTTTTTTGGCTTCTTGGGCCAGGGCCCTTATCCGGTCGTCTCTATCTCCTTTAGCCACTCGTACCGGCGGTACCGCCCCTCAGCTGTTTGCGAGGCGAGCGTGCTCTGCTCCTGCGCGCGCGACGGCAAGCAGCGGCTCCGTGTTCCGCCCGTGCGAGGGGAGGGGAACGAGAGCTCCGGTGGCCCCCGCGGTGAGCTTCATCGCCCCCGCCCCATGTCTGTGCCTCTCGTTGGGTTGGCTCGTATCCCTATCCCAACATCTTCTTCCCACCCATTGCCATGGAGCTCCTCCCGGCTCCGTTTCCCTCTTTCCTCCCTAGACCCCACCAATTACCTCCCCAATTGCCTCTTTCCAGACCCTGCCATGGCCGCCTCCAAGAGCCCATCATGGCTGCTTTCGCCCAGGCTCCTCCCCTTGCGCTCCACTTCCAAGAAGCAACAAGAAGCAGCAGCTCCCAGCCCCCACGCCCACGTACCCGTCCCAGTCCCCCCGCCCAGAGACCAACAACAGCTCACCCGCCGCTGCCTGGCACTTCCCCTTCCTCCGCCAGTGAGCCTCTGATTGTTTCCGAGACGAAGCTCATCACGATGCACTCCTGCGCGGGGCGCCTCGAGGACGCTCGCAAGGTGTTCGAAGGAATGGCGTGCAGGGACCTACTCGCCTGGTCCGCCATGATCGGCGCATACGCCATCAGGGGCCTGTACAAGGAGGTTGTCCCGCTCGCGGTGACCATGGTCAGGGAAGGGGTCATTCCGGATAGGTTCCTGATCACCCGGATTCTACAGGCGTGCGCGTACACAGAGGACCTGGAGCTCGGGGTGGCGATGCATTCACTGGCGATCCAGAGTGGTTTCATGGTGGAGAGAGCGAGGGACGTGCCGGTCGGGAACTCGGTGCTGGCGATGTACGTCAAGTGCGGAGAACTGGGCCGTGCACGTGTGGTGTTTGAGAATATGGGGCAGCGGGACCTGGGCACATGGAACTCAATGATTTTCGGGTGTTGCCAGTCCAATGAGTGGGAAGAGGCACGGAGGCTGCTCGATGATATGAGGCATGAAGGTACAGAGCCTGGGGTCATCACGTGGAACACGCTGATCTCGAGCTATGCGAGGTCTGGGGAACTTGATGTGGCCATGGAGATGCTGGAGCAGATGGAGGAGTCCGGTGTTGCTCCGGATGTCATCACCTGGACTAGCCTTGTGTCTGGTTTTGTCTACAGTGATAGGGGTGGTGAGGCACTTCGGTGTTTCATGCGCATGCGTCTTGCTGGAGTCGAACCGAATGGCATGACGATCGCGAGTGCCATCTCAGCTTGTGCTAGTTTGAGGTTACTGAGTCAGGGCATGGAGCTCCATTGCCACGCAATAAAGGTTGGGAGCGTGAACAATGTGCTCTCAGGGAACTCCTTGGTTGACATGTATGCAAAATGTGGAGAAATTGTTGCAGCTAAGAGAATATTTAATGAGATACCCGAGAAGGATATCTTCTCCTGGAACTCAATGGTTGCGGGGTATGCACAGGCGGGCTATTGTGGCAAAGCATATGAGCTTTTCTGTAAGATGGAGAGCCTTGGTGTTCGGCGCAATGTGATAACATGGAATATAATGATCTCGGGATACATAAGAAATGGGGATGATGAGAGAGCTTTTGAGCTATTTCAGATGATGGAAAGCTACGGAGTAAAAAGGGACACGGCTTCATGGAATGCACTCATTGCTGGGTCAGTGCACAATGGCCATTCTGATAGAGCCCTGAGAATATTTCGGCAGATGCAATCACTCTTGGTGAGACCAGATTACATCACAATATTAAGTATCATTCCAGCATTTGCAAACCTAGTTGCATTTTCCAAAGTACGGGAGATCCACACCTGCATATTTCACAACTATTTAGAAATGGATGGCAAAATAGCAAATGCACTCATCAATGCCTATTCAAAATCTGGCGATCTTGCTGGTGCTTGTGCTGTTTTTGATAGGCACTCATCAAGGAACATTATTTCTTGGAATTGTATAATTCTCGCACACTTGCTGCATGGTTCTCCAAGTGAAGCACTGGATTGCTTTTGTGAGATGAAACAAGAAGGCGTGTTGCCAGATCATACAACTTTGACTGCCGTAATCAAGGCCTATGGCCTCCAGGGAAAGGTATCTGAGGTGAAACAAATATTTTATAATATGACCCACGATTACAACATTACTCCAGATTTAGATCATTACGCAGCTATAGTTGATCTCCTTGGCCGCTCAGGTTGTCTACAAGAAGCATATGAGTTTATTGATAATATGCCACTCATACCCAATTTAGCAGTCTGGGAGGCATTGCTCACTGCTGCAACTATTCATGGAAATGCAAGGTTAGCAAACCTGGCAGCAAGAGAGCTGTCATCGCTTGATCCCAGTGATACTAGAATCCAAAGACTGGTTTTTAATTACTGGGATCTAACTGGAAAGTCTGCTGATGTGCCACTCATGACAGTATACAACAAAGGAAGAGAGTTGAAAGATGTTGATAGTTGTTCGGTTGAAATCAAGAACAAGGTCTATTTGTTCTCAACCAGTGATAATTTAGCATTAGAGAGTACAGTAGCTGAATTGAAGTTGATTATGATTCAGATCCGAATGTCATTGCTGAACATCTGTAATGGGACTGACGCTGAAGAAGAGAAAGAAGAATTATCTGGAATACATTGTGAGAAGCTAGCAATTGCTTTTGCAATTTCAAATTCCCCTCCTCTCAGAAGCATACGGATAATAAAGACCTTAAGGATGTGTAGCCGTTGTCACATCTTTGCCAAGCTAGTTTCAGAAAAATACGAGCGGCAGATACTGATCAAGGATTCAAATTGTTTGCACAAGTTTAAGGATGGAAAGTGCTCTTGTGAAGATAAGAATGTATAGGCTTTAGTGGAATAATTCTGGTAACACGGAGCATGTTATGATGAGATAAGAATGATAATTTTCGGTGAAATAGAGCAGATGCAGAGGGATAGAAACAAGCTTGCTCCTTTTTAATGATTGGTCAGTTGTGCTAAATTTTATCACGTGAAGGACTCTGTATCTGTATGCATTGCCTGCGTACAGATACATGAAGCAAGATGATGCTTGCATTTGTTTTCATCATTGGCTGTCACATAAATTAGTAAAGACTTTTCTAAGTTTTGGCCAGAGACTTGTTTCCTGGCTAGAATGAATTGTGTTATATTTTATCAGCCTGCTTGTCCTCAGATCAAAATAGATGTCTTGTTTGGAGCTTTCATTAGGCAAAGCTTCAATCTTTTTTAATCTGAAAATTTTGCTACATCTGAAATTGTTCAGGTTTCATGTTAGAGAGAGTTTCTAATTTTCTTGACTTGCGACTGGACCATCTTGGGATCATATTGCAACCACTAATTCCTGTGCTTGCTAGCATCAATTGGCAAGGGATATTATGCTGCTGCTGCACTTGAGACAGGTACCTGTAATTCTTGTCTTTGCATTATCGTCTAGCTTCACGTACCTTTCCCATTATCATTTCTGTATCCTTTTGTTGATATGAACATGACCTCAAGATTCCATTGCTTGTTGATGTATGCAAACATAAGAGAATCTTTTACCCGCTTCTTTATAGTTCCTGTTATGGCAACGTCACATCTGAATGTTTGCAAGGCTTGTGCAGTTGAGAAGATGGTCACTCAGTCAGTCCGAGTGCATGTCGAACTCTTGACCTCTGTCTTTCTGAATAAGTAGTATTATGATTTTAAAGACTAAACTGCTTGGATTATTCTTCTTGTGTCTGTGTTCACACTATTGCTCTGTCAGCCTGAATGTGAAGTAATTTTCATAGAAAGCAATCTCCTTGGTTCAGTAAAAGCACATCCTGGTCAAGTGGAACTTTTGATAGATTTTTGGAGCCTTTTCTTTTAAAGCCGCCACTAGAGCTGGCATTTATTTTTTCTCAAAAACGCAGGAGGTAGAGTTGACATTTAGAAAAGAATAATTATAAGCCCCAATGACTGGAACATTTTGAATAGCCAACATTTTGGATGCATATAGTAATGGGAGTGACATAGATCTCTTCACATTTTTCTAATATATAACCTATATATTCCTTGCTGATTAGAGACGCTGTCAGAAACTTAGAACTGTCTGTGCTAAGAGTTGGTTTTCACTATGGAGCATTTACTCCTTGCCATTTGTTTCTCTTATTGTCACCCAAGTGAGTCCTGACGTGGTAATATTTCTAAAACCTGAAAGATCTGACCTTGAGGTTATTAATCACATCGTGGAATTATTTGGCCATACCTCAGGACTCAGAACATGAACAAAAGTTTAGTATTGCCCATCCAGTGCGGAGATGTTGAGGTGAGAACTATTTCAGAAACACTCCCATGTGAGCTGAAGGACTTTCCATGTACTTACCTTGGCTTACCTTTAACTCTTCGCAAACCCACCAAGTCTGACCTCTTACCTCGTATTGACAAGGTGGCTGATAGTCTCGTGGGAAAAGGTTCAACGCCCTATTCAGTTTGGGGGGCTAGGCATTCATAACCTTGAAACTTTGGACTGGTCACTCCGTATCAGATGGCTGTGGGCACAGAAGACTGATGAGGGACGTCTAAAGGGCTTACCAGTGCAAGTCCCATGTATTGCCCAAACGTGGTTGTTTCTGTACAAACCATAGTTGGTAATGGAACTTCAACTAAATTCTGGCTGGACTGCTGGCTTTTTGGTAAAACAATTGCAGAGCATGCTCCCAACCTGATCAAGGTCATTCCCAAAGAGAGCCTTGAAACAACGTACGGTCTACGGTGGCACAAGCTTTACAGGACAGAAGTTGGGTGGCTGACATCAAGGGGACCTTGACAATTGAAGTATTGTTGGAATACTTGCAACTGGACACTCCCGATCAGCACCAATGAAGACTTGCACGATCGGGCTCTTACTCTAGCAAATCAGCCTATGTAGCTTTTTTTTCACAGGGACCATCAAATCCATCCACCGTAGAAGAGCTTATAATAATCATATCCAAGACTAGGATTGTACTTAGAGCATTCGAAGAAAAAAGAATTGTGCTTAGAGCAATTTCCTACATCATTTCTGTCGAGCAATTTCAGCCTCATTGTCATTTGTGTATCTAACTAGTTTTTTATGATCTTCATTCTACTTCCACTTCCACCTCAAAGATTTTTTTTTTTGAATGTCACCGGGGGGGATAATTCCCCACCTGAATTTTATTTGGCCCCAAGCGGCCCGCTTTTGTGTTTAGAAGATCTTTACAGTGTTTCTAGGACTGGAGTTTACAGGCCACTCCATGGCCTTCCTAGCTCTGTAACGCGTCAGAGAAGACTGAACACCATTGATCCGCTACTTGCTTCTTCCGCCGTGGAAATCGAGCTCGCCGTTGTTCAGCTTCCCGCTTGCACGTAGTTAGTAGCTGTTGGATTGACGTTTGCTCCTCCCTGAAGACAAGTGCATTTCGTGTTTTCCAAAGTAGCCAGCACGACAGCGCGACAAACGCTCCGAAACTGATCTTGTGGCAGGTTGCTTGGCCGGGGGAGCTTATATAAGTCTCTTACCGCAAAGCCTGGCGGCATGGCGACGCCAATTTTGGCCCAATACTGTCTGGCAATGGGGCATCCATTGACAATGTGCTCCGGCGTTTCATCGTCTTGTCCACATACTTCACATACCGAAGTTGGCACAATGTTTTTGCGCCGCAGGTTGGAGCGACATTGAATCCTATTGAGTCAGAAGCCACATAAACATCTGTACTCTCGGTGGAGCTGCGTTCTTCCGGATGAACGCTGATCCTTCATCACTTCCCTGTCCACGAGATTTGAGCAGCCTGTATACTCCCCCGGAGTCAAGACTAGCTTCGCCGGTACTGAAATGGGACAGCCTGCGGTCCTGATCCTCTGAAAGGGTGACCTCGGACAGGTTGGTTTCAACCATTCTCAGCTGCTCCAGTGCCAATGTCGTCAGTCTTTTTTTTTTTTTTTTTTTTTTTTGGAATCAGGAGGGGGTTTTGGCCCCTACTGGTTAATGTCGTCAGTCTTGGAACGAAGATTGTCTGTATTCCAGTATCCAGGACTTCTCTGACCGTGACATCCTTGCATGTGCAGTGGCTGTACAGCGCCGGGTAGACCTCTGCCAACGCCTCATCGCCGAGCCAGACGTCCATCCAGAACGAGGTGCATGCACCGTCGTCAACAATTTGGACTGTGGTAATGGCTTGGTAGAGCGGTAGGATGGAGCGCAGCACCTCCCAGTGTTCTCCATGAAGGTCACCTTTCAGATTAGCAATACAGGCCTTGCCTAACCCACCGTGCCCATGCAGAATGTTGAGGAAAATGAAGCCGGTGAATGAGTTTCAGCAGGAGGCACACATTTTGGACGCCCATATCTTTGATACCAAGTCCTCCTAGCTCTTTGGGGTTGCACACCTGAGTCCAAGCTACAAGGCATTTCGCTGGGGACACAGTTCCAGTCCGTTCACCAGCCCACATGAAGGCCCTACGCCTCCGATCCATTTGGTGTATGACTGACGGTGGTAGGTAAAGCCAGGGAACTCAGAAGTATACCAGCTGACTGTCCAACACTGCATTCACCAGCACGGCCCTCCCCATGGTGTTCAGTAGTTGCGCCTGCCAGCATCCAAGATACCTATCAGCTTTTTGAATGTAAGGGGTGTATGCAGAGATTGGCAGCTTGGATGTGGATAGGGGTGAGCCAAGATAAGCTTTGAGGAAAGCTTTCTTGCTTGCATCCAAGGAGTTGGACACAATTCTGAGTTAGATGTTCATCCATATGTAATACCATAATTGTCTTCAGCGCAGTCACACCATTCAGATCCCCTTTTAGCACTATGAGCGTATCATCGGCGTACGGAAGCACTGCGCAAGGCAACCCCTCAGTGACAGGGTGTAGAATCCCGTTACCGTCCTCTTTGATCAGGCGCTGCAACGTTTCAGCCACCACCAGTAGGAAGAGGTAAGGGGTGGGGGCGCGCGTCAAGCCCACCTCCGGATCCGGCCGTCGCCGGCGAGCGGCGGCGCAGCCGGGAGAGAGAGAGAGGGAGCGGCGAGCGAGGGAAGAAGAGAGGCCGTGGTAGATATTTTGTGGCCTGTCGGCTCATGGCTAGCTACGGACCGACAGGCCAATCGGCCCAACAAGGGTACACTGGCCAGTCATGTCTAGCTTGGTCGGTCAAACAGTTGTCTACTCGCCTGCCGATAGGTATCTTCCAGTCGGCTATCCACAAGCCGACATGATACTATAGTGACAATTCTCACAATTCATATGCTATATTTGCAATTATTAATTAAAAAATATTATTTTACAAAAAATCTCTCCCTGACGCAATCCTCTTTTGGGCACCGCCGTTTTGACCACTTTCTTACTTTTTTTTACCAAATTTGTTATTGCCAGTTTATTACTTTGGGATATAATAAGGTGCTTCTGAATGCAATTAGCAAGAGTTAACTGAATCAGCTAGATGCTAAGCTGTTTGTTGTGCGTACCCTCTCTTTTTTTTTGACCTGCAGTCCAAATTGTTCTACGGACACTTTTTTCGGAAAAGTTCTACGGACACCTTGGTTTCCTTTTAATTCCAATCAGCACATGGCGGCCGCACGTCCCGACATGTCCCTCTTGGGCATGTAAGGAAAACGGACCCTAACCCCATTTACTTTGGATTTTGGTATTTGATGACCAACACAACCAAATTGGACTAATGCATTTGCAAGTGATTGTTTTGTAGTTCAATAGGATGCAAGACGTGACTTGAACAAAGGCGACGTGATGATCCGATGATCAACATCATAAGCAAGACCCTAGGAGCACAAGAGAAGACCTAAGATATCAAGCAAAGTCCAAGCACAAAGATAGGAAACAAGCCGTACGCAAGATCGCGAAGAAAC